TAAACCCTAAACCCTAAACCCTAAACCCTAAACCCTAGGGTTTAGGGTTCAAACTCTCAACCCTAAACCCCAAACCCTAAACCCAACATGATACTCAGGGCCCGAAGGCCGCCATGTACGACTCCCCTAGGTGCATATGCAGTTTGGGTTGGGCTTTGGGACGATGTACCTGCACCCCCCCCCCCCTAAAAAGCAACAAAATAGGGTTTAGGGTTTAGGGTTTTAGGTAACCCCAAAACCCTAAACCCTAAACCCTAAACCACCCTAAACCCTAAACCCTAAACCGTAAGGAAATCAAGGCAGGGACCCTAGAAAGGGAACGCAGGTGTTTTTGTTGTCATTTATTCCGTGACGGCAGGAAGCCCCCGAAGTCTCATACCAGGATTGAAAAATATGTCTTCACAGCCCGTGTTAAAATAGCTAAGCCTGATGAAGGCTGTGCGCGCGTCTAGGGTTTTAGGTTTTACAAAATGGTTTGGGTTTAGTGTTTAGAGTAATATAGGGGCCTTTATAGTTGGAATAAGGTTTTGGGGGGTTAGTATAGTAGAACTATAAAAGGCTCCAATTTAGAAATTATTCCCTATATCAATGCTGCAGGTTTCTGAGCTGGAAGGGTGGTCAGCGCTGAGGGGACGACATGCCGGAGCCCTACTCCCGAAGGATCCAGGTACCTAGAATGGCATATACGTTGGGCCCTAAAGCTACGTACGCATGGGTCCCTTTAAAGCCCAGGTATATGCCCTACACCTTAAACCCTAAACCCTAAACCCTTAACCCTAAATGCAGGTGGACTACTGGAAAGCTCAACGTGGGAAAAAGCTGAGACGGCCGACGGGTAGCTCGGCCCACAATGCGGCAGCCTGCTGTGGCTATGGACTTCCAAGCTTTGAAGGGGGTAGGGGGTTTAGGGTTTATAGGGTTTATAGGGCTTTTTAGGGTTTATAGGATTTATAGGGCTTATAGGGTTTATAGGGTTTCTAGGGTTTATAGGGTTTATAGGGTTTATAGGATTTAAGGGTTTATAGGGTGTATAGGGTTGTGAGCTGCCTTTTGTTACCACATTGGGGTCTCAGTTCGGGGTTGTGGTTCTTAGAGCCTCGAGTTGTGCTCAAGTTGCCGGTCTCCTTGCCACCGGGACAAGGTGGGTTTAGGGTTTAGGGTTTAGGGTTTAGGGTTTAGGGTTTAGGGTTTAGGGTTTAGGGTTCCAGAAGAGCCCGAAACTGCAAGCACGCCCACCCAGCACCTTGAGTCTCTCGCGGAGCTCTTTCTCATCCTGCACAGACGCCGTCTTCTTACATACATAGTTGGCGTGCCAGGGAAGGTGGGTTTCTCTCTCATGCTGGCTGGTATACATGCCTGCAGAACGATAACTTTTGTTGTACACATTTACCGCACTGTTGTTCTCTACATCGCGCACACGCAACACACACACACACACACAGACACACACACACACACACACACACACACACACGTATATATATATATATAATTATTTACTTATATTTATATATTTACACTATATATTTATGCTATATTATCTTATATTATATTGTATTATATTTTCTTATCTCATACTGTATTATATTATATTTTTAATATATTTTACTATATATTTATATTTACATGTATTTATTTAAGTACCTATTTATCTTACTTTATTTATTTTCTTCAATTTTTATATGTTACATATGCACATACATGAGCATTTCCATACACGCTTGCATTTGCACATGAATATATTTCGTACATACATACATATACAAAACATAATTTCTGTAGCCGAAATCTGTACAAGTCCTGCAACAAGAAACCTTAGTCCCTTAGTTTTAGAGTTGATGGACCAAACCATAGAAACCCTAAACCCTGAACCTAAACCCTAAACCCAAGGGACTCAGCGAAGGACTCCGGAGGCAGTGGAAGTTTGGGGTCAGGATCCACGGTCTGCGCAGCTGGACGCATGGCATACGGGCTCAGGGAGATGTGCCTGAAGCTGAGAACCCAAAACCCATTAGGGGTTTAGGGTTTGGGGTTTAGGGCAAAACCTACTTTTTGCAGGTTCTGATTACCCCCGTAGCCGAAGCAAAGCGGCTTCGGGGGCACAACCAGCGCCCAACGAGCCTCTCGGTTCGGGCCTGCGCCCTTCCGCGAGAGGTGTGTAGCCTGCGCCCAAATGAGGCCCAGTGAGGCCCAAAACCAGGGACAACTGCCAGAGGCCCCCAACTACCGAAGTGCCTGCGCTACTGGGTTCTACTTGAAGGTTCATGGTACTTACTAACCAATTATAACTGTACTTATAACCCTACTTATAATACCCCTAAAGGGCCTTATAGGGGTTATCCCAATTGTAAGTAGGGTTATAAGCCCAGTTATAATTGGTTAGTAAGTACCATGAACCTTCAAGTAACTATTACAAATCAGGGGCAGTTGGCGGCAAGAACCCTATTGAGGGCTGCCTCTCTGTCGTTTGAACAAATATAGCCCCCTTGCAGTACAACATCCCCGTATCACGAACCGCGTAGAATACCAAGAGGTCTTGTTACACCCGCTAGTTGCGCCGAATACAGTTGTGTACCTGCTTTGTCCGAGTGGGCTAAGCTGTCGGTGGGGGTACAACAAACTGGCTGATTGGAAAATATCGTTTGTGCGTGGAGGCCTGCCCACTTTTCCTCGGCAGTGAAACTGAGGATGGAAACAAGGCTTTCCCAAAACAAGGGGTAAAGGCAATGCGCATCCCCTCAAGCCTAAGCCCCTAAACCCCTGAAGCCCTAAAACCCTAAACCCCCAAACCCCTGAAGCCCTAAACCCCCAAACCCCTGAAGCCCTAAGCCCTGCATATTAGAACCCTTAAACCCCTAAAGCCCTAAAACCCCCAAACCCCTGAAGCCCTAAGCCCTGCATATTTTCTGAGACAGGAGCTGCTGGAAGGTTTTCTCACAGCAGGGCAGAAGGGAGAGCAAGAGCCACACCCCCCCCCCCCGCCCAATTATTTTTCAAAAAAGGAGATCATATTCAAAAAAGAGTAAAATTAAAACAAAACAAAAAAAGAGGACAAACAAAAAAGGACAGATACGTTCCGGCGACCATAAAGCCCAAGCAGCTCATAATCCCAGAAGTTTCCTTAAGGCCCCGAAAACATTTCGACCACCTTCGCCCTGCACCCTCCACCTCGCGGCAGAGCTCAGGCATTCCCATGGCCTGAGTGGGTACTTGGAGGGTCAGGGGACTTAGTAAGTAGATAGTAAGTAGACTTATAAGTACCCTAAAAGGGACCCTAATTGGAATTATCCTACTTATTAACTCTACTAGATAACTACTTGCTAAGTCCTCCGACCCTCCAAGTAGGGGACCATACTAAAGGGACCCAGGGTTTAGGATTTAGGGTTTAGGGTTTCGGGTTTAGGGTTTCGGGTTCAGGGTTCAGGGTTTAGGGTTCAGGGTTTAGTCACTTCCTTTAGGAGCCTAAACCCGTTTGCATCCGGGCGCTTGGGCAGCCGGGGATGGAAGTGGCGGCCCTCAATGCACAGGTTTAGGGTTTAGGGTTTAGGGTTTAGGGTTTAGGGTTTAGGGTTTAGGGTTTAGGGCTTAGGGCTTAGGGTTTAGGGTTTAGAACTACTGACTGCACGTCTCTATCCGACAATGCCAGCGTCGAGAAACTTTTTTTTTTTAGAACCCAGGCTCTGCACTTATCAGACGGGCAACAGGCATGACAATTGCACAACCCTAAACCCTAAACCCTAAACCCTAAACCCTAAACCCTAAACCCCAAACCCCAAACCCCCCCAAGGCCCGGTCTTCCAGCTGCTCGTGCCGCAGGGCGACTCGTATCGCGGACTGGCGGGCGCAACGCAGCGAGCTCCCCCAAACCCGGAGGAACACTCCAAGAGGAGAGCCCAGGAATAAAAGGGTTTAGGGTTTAGGGTTTAGGGTTTAGGGTTTAGGGTTTAGGGTGACCCAAGAGTAGCCTGGGAATAGAAAAGGGGCCTTTTTTTTGGCGCTTTAAACGGGCTCTATTTCTGGAACCTAAACCGAAAACCTAACGAATAGATAATGAGGGCCTACACTGGGTCCTAGCCACTAGTTGATTTTTTCATGTCTGTGGCTTGCATGGGGGGGGGCCCCCTTACGTGTCTCTAGCTGTAGTCAAGGGACTTCTATCCCAAATCAGGATGCTTATAACCCAATTTAGAGCCGATAAAACTCTACTTATTCTTAGGGGGCCCCCTTGTAGCGTAGGAGGGCCCAACATCTTCCGGCAAACCCCACAGGAACTGTGAGAATTGAGTGCTTTACGGCTTGGCCACGCTGTGCGATATGAATACACCCCGCCCCAAAAATTAATCCAGAGGAGCCGGCGCGCTTAAATCCGAAGCCACGAGCTCAAACATGCAAACACAGGAAGCGCTGCAGAACTTGCAGAGCTACAACAGCCCTCCCTCCCAAAGAAGAAGCAAACTCTGAATGTTCCCGAAACCCTAAACCCTAAACCCTAAACCCTAAACCCTAAAGAGCATGAACGTTCGGAGATAGGGATGCAAAAACCTTGAAGCCGGACTGTACCCCCAGTGTTCATCAGGAGCCATCTTCGCCTCTCCAGCACTCCCCCGAGCTTTCATAAGGGGCTGCGTTTGGGGTTTAGGGTTTAGGGTTTAGGGTTTAGGGTTTAGGGCTTATAGCGTAGAGCGCATAGCGCATGGTACCGAGGGAACGGCAAGGAGAGAGAGAGTGCAGCAAGAAGCATCTCGACTCCCCTAGGCCCCCGCCCTCGGCCCGAATCTCCTGGCAGCCGATATGCTAACTCCTGGGACTAAGGATCCGGCTACCTACACAGTATATGCTTGGGCACTAAGGGGGGCTTCCTATCTAGCACCTTTAGGACCCCCAAGTATGGACTATACAGGTACATGGATCCTTATGACCCTAAACCCTAAACCCTTTTTACGGCTAGGAACCCCTAAACCCTAAACCCTACACCCAAGGTTTCCTTTTCTGCTCGCGCATCACACGCGCGTCCCGCCGCTCGGATATGCCGACGCGCTGCTCCTTTCTGCCGGAGCGCAGTCGAGGCAAAGGCGGCTCGGGCGCGCGGGGTCCACCCTCGGCTTGAAGGCTTTCGGGTAGCCCTAAGGGTCCATGTACGTGTATAGTATATACTTAAAGCTGCTATATAGGAACTGCTTTAGACCCCAAGTATACACTATATAGGTACATGGACCCTTCGGGTAGGGTCTAGAGGGTACCCAAAGAGCCCAATATGCCCCGCCTGAATAAGGAATTATGTCTTAAATCATACTAAGGATTCTCGTTCCTTCGTTCATTCAAGGGGTATATTGGGGCTCTCTGGGTTTAGGGCTTCCCGTCTTTTGGGGCTTTTGGGCAAAAGAATTTCATGTGTCGTTGAGGTTTTGATGTTGCAGGGTCGACCGTAGGCTCTCTCCTCTCACGGCTGCTCTTGCTTTGTGTACCAAAACAGCACTGCTGCCGCCAAAACCATGCAAGAACCCCAAAATGCCAAGATACCTCAAGCCGTGAAGCCTTGAGCTCGAAACTGGAAAGTAACTTTGAGTACGGGGTCTTTGGCTCCGGGGGGTCCGGGTCCTCGCGAACGGGGGCGGAGGTGGCGGGGGTGGCGGAGAAAGAAACTTCACAACCACGCAAACGTTTTACCCAAAAGCCGGACAAATTGCTCGAGCACCTATATCCTCCTTAACCCCGATTTTAAGCCATACCTAAACACTATACCTACCTCCGAAAGCACGTACTTTGGCATCAGGCCAAAACCGTACTTATAAACTTTACCACGACCCCTGAGATTTGACTGAACCCTAAACCCTAAACCCTAAACCCTAAACCCTAAAGACTGAACTGCCTTACCCAGGTAAATTCCAAGTTCAACTTTAAGTGGTCTGTCGTTATTGAATGTTTTTGACATGGGCAAGCAGACCAGCTAGAGAGACGGATACCCAAAGAGCCCTCAACACCCCTTAATTACACAGTATACCTTACATTGTATAGGGATCCTTGATATGACTATAATCATATATATATATACCCTAAACCCTAAACCCTAAACCCTAAACCGACCCTAAACCCTAAACCCTAAACCCTAAACCCCAAACCCTAAACCCTAAACCCTAAACCCGAAACCCCAACCCTCTTTGGGCAGATACCAGCACTCCGATGAGAGGACTGCCCGGTGCGAAGCCCGCTGATCCGCCGAGAAGCTCGGGGATACAGCGCCAGCCATCGACCTAGGATGGCCCCGAAACCCTAAACCCTATACCCTAAACCCTAAACCCTAAACCCTAAACCCTAAACCCTAAACCCTAAACCCTAAACCCTAAACCCTAAACCCTCTCAAAAAAAAACATTCCTAGATATGATCCTCTTCGAACCCCCAAAAAGGAAAAGCAGAAAATATACCTTGGGCCTAGCAACAGGGCTGCAGCCATCACAAACGCAGCGCCCGCAGTGGCGACCTTTCTCATGTCGTCACAATATTGAGCCCTAAACCCTAAACCCTAAGCCCCTAAACCCTAAACCCTAAACCCTAAACCCTAAACCCTAAACCCTAAACCCTAAACCCTACATGTCGTCACAACATTGAGCCCTAAACCCTAAACCCTAAACCCTAATCCCTAAACCCTAAACTAAACCCCTTGAGAGGCAGGGATTCATTGCTTTCAGAAAGCAACTCAAGGCCAACACAAAAGAAATACTGCGCCAAGAAGAGATGGCCTTCGATCCATGTACCCAGAATGTAGCACTCGGGCTTTAAGGGGTTCCTATATAGTAGCTTTAGGGCCCATGTCACAATCTATATACCCTAAACCCTGAACCCTAAACCCTAAATAAACCATAAACTATATACAGGTACATGGACCCTTAGGGTCACAGACTTCGGGAGGCCTGGGGCCGGCAAGTGAGGTTTTGGAGTTCACCGGCTTTGGCGGCGCCGGGGGCCCACCCAGCAAAAGCCCCAGTGTAGGCCTGTGGTGCCCTTCCGGGCACCACGCCGAACCCCCGGGTTTAAGGTTTAGGGTTTAGGGTTTCGGGTTTAGGGCCATGTCATTTGAACCATGCGTGGGTCCTTATTGCAAGGGTGCCGTACACAAACCCCAAAATGCCACCCCATCTACTATAGGGGCCTTAAGAATTAGAATAGGGTTTTGAGGGAGACTCTAGTATAGCTATAAAAGGGACCAGAAGGGACTACTGCTAGAAAATTCTTCCGACCCCTATTATACCCCAATCCCCAAACATAAACCCTGAACCCGAAACCCCTAAACCCCTAAACCCCAAAACCCCAAAACCCCAAAACCCCAAAACCCCAAAACCCCAAAACCCCCAAACCCCCAGACCCCCAAACCCCTAAACCCCTAAACCCCTAAACCCCTAAACCCCTAAACCCCTAAACCCCTAAACCCCTAAACCCCCAAAACCCCCAAACCCCTAAACCCCTAAACCCCTAAACCCTAAACCCTAAACCCCAAACCCTAAACCCTAAACCCTAAACCCCAAACACTAAACCATGCGCCAGTGCCCTCAGCCAAGTCGCAATGATGACGTCGGCGCAGGAGCGAGAAAGGGACGTCACAGATTTCGCAGTCCGCCTTCTCAAAAAGCGGAGGGGGCCCCCAGAGAGCCCAATATTCCTCAATTATGGAATATGAATTCTGGGGTATTGGGCTCTTTCGGTCCAGGGTTTACGACCCTTTCGTTTCTGCTCTGGGACTTCGCACTGCGCCACTTTGGTTCAGCCGAAAGTGGCCATGTGTCTGACTGACATGTGCCTTCAAAGAGATGGGTAAACACCTCTCTGACCCTCCTATGCGATGACCTGTCACTTATTGGTTGTGGTTCCCAAAGAGCCCAAAACCCCTCACTTAAGGAATACTTCTTAAATCATGTTAAGGATCCATTAATAATTTGAGGTAATATTCTTTACTTAAGGAGTATTGGGCTCTCTGGGTTTACCCCAGCCCAGCTACAAGAGTAACCAGCTGCAATCCGCGGTTTTCGGGTTTAGGGTTTCGGGTTTAGGGGTCTGAACACTCTTACGGTAGTTACAGGGCCCCTTATATACCCCCTTTTCCCCTATACAAACCAAGGGCCCAGACTTCCGAACCCTTTAACGGAACCATATTAAGGGCCCATGGAATTACCACCCCGAGAAGCAAGAAGAAGACAGAACACTTATGCCTTTCTGATCGATGCATATACCAGGTATTCTCCTTAACTGAGCAGCCCTAAACCCTAAGCCCCTAAACCTAAACCCACAAAAGGGGTACCCAGAGACTGCAAGATCCCTTAACGAAGGAATATACCTTAAATTCGAATAGGATCCCGATTATGATTTAAGGTATAATCCTTAATTAAGGGATGTTGGAGTCTCTGGGTATGGCACTCTCCGAGACAGTAACTCATGCGAGCGTCTGCATCGCGGTCGGGCGTCCAGTTCCAGTCCCGGCCGGGGCGCAAATTTGGCCGACACCTGCGGCGACTGGTGGGATGCAACTCCCCAGCTAATAGGGGTTTAGGGCCGTTTAGGGTTTAGCACAATACCCCATAACCAAGGAGTGGACCTTAAATCAGATCAAGGATCTCTGCTACAAGTAAAGGTCGTGTATTCCTTAAATTACTGGGGGTATTGGGCTCTGTGGGTTCAGCTGGAATGCTAGAAAGACTTGTAGGCCAGAGCTCTCCCGGCCATTCTGTGTGTGCCTTGCAACCGACAGGTCCGACTGCTCCAAGGACTCTTCTGTTTAGGGTTTAGGGTTTAGGGTTCAGGGTTCAGGGCTTAGGGTTTAGTACACATGGAATGTGCGCATGTCGCACCAAGACAGGAAGCGTCAGACAAAAAAATGCTGGGCCAATCCAGCGCTGCCATCCAGGCTACGGAAGGCAGGAACAAGGTCCGGCTTAAGATTGCTTGAAGATCGAGGACTCAACCATTTGGGGGTTTCCGAAATTTGGGGGGGGTACCTTATTGGGGTCCTCTTTACAAGGGAACCCCAACTATTTGGGGAGTCCATTAGGGGCCCCTTCTTTTCGTAAGCCCCCAATGGCCCCTAAACCCGAAACCCTAAACCCTAAATCCCAAAGCCCCAAACGGTTTGGGGCTTGAGGAAACCTCTGCCCAGCATCCAACCAAAGCAGCCCCAGCAATCAAGAGACGAACCTGGCCCACCAGGACATGACTGAGCCAACCTCAGCTAGGGTTTAGGGTTTAGGGTGTAGGGTTGATTTCCCACCGTTTGCTTAAGACCCCGCCCCAAAAAAAAAAAACTTAATTTTTCTTTCCTGTATAAGGGTAAGAAGGGGAGTATTTCTTGTTTGAGTTTTTGGGTTTCTGAAGCAAATAGTAGTTTCAGACCGGAACACAGGCTTCTTTGCTTGAGGACGAGCGATGTCTAAGGACGACTGTAGGCAGCACCGAAGAAACAAACATAACGCCACTAGGGCGCTTCAGCCACAACCTCGGAGTTGCTGAGTTCATAAGCCCCAAAACAGTGTACACTGTCAGTTCTATAGTGGATTACAGTATCCCAAAAAGTGTAAAGTGTGCTCACAGAGCTACTAAGACCTTCAAAGGTCCCAAAAGAGCCCGACGATTCTTTAATTAAGGGGGTCTTGGGCTCTGTGGGTCTACCAGCTCACACCGAAAAGCGCTCGTTGGATGCAGTGGTGGAGCTGTGCTTGGCTGCGACGTGCCCGCACCCTCCCCTGGAAGAGAGTCAAAGTCGTCCAGATCTTCCTTGCTGGCAACATCTCCACGCTTGATTATACGATCTGAACCCTAAACCCTAAACCCTAAACCCTAAAAAGAATAGCTCGACATCTTGAAAGTGTAAAAAAAAATCGACCTTCGGCCCTGGTGCCAGGATGTTGGAGCCAAAACCGCGAGAAACACAGACCCCGGAACCCAGAACCCAGAACCCAGAACCCTAAACCCAGAACCCTAAACCCTAAACCCTTGCATGCCGGTGCTGCTGTGTGGCCACTTCCCCCTCCCTCTCTTTCTCGGGGCTGGCTGCGCGCTCCAGGGGTGGTGCGATGTGGAGAGACAAGTCCAGCCACACCTGGCGCCAAGACCCCAGATAGCCCAATGGCCCTTAATTGAGGAATATAACCTAAATTCTAAAGGGATCCCTAATAAGATCTAAGGAATACGCCTGGCGCCAACTTCGAGGTTCATGGGTACCCAGAGAGCCCAAAAGCCCTTACTTCAGGAATAACCCTGCAATTATAAAGGGATGCTTGATGTGATTTAAGGAGTATTCCTTGATTAAGGGGTGTGGGGCTCTTTGGGACTGAGACCGTAACTCCCATAAACCTTAAAGCATGGCCTGAGTAGCACCCGCTCAAAAGAACGGCAGCTCACTTTAGGACTGCATCCGGACCCTTAGTCGTAGTTCCTTTTGGGGGTACCGAAGTGTCATGTTGTTTTTCCTAACGAGTACTTGTCAAGTCTCAATATACTACTTAACCATAGCCGAACAATAAACAACACTTAACACTTAGATGTCTAGGTAGGTGAAGGAGCATGCGTAAGAGCCATTTGCCGACTTGTCCGAACCATACCGTCAAGCACCACAAACCTCCACTTTGACTTTCTGAGGTCCAAAAGACCCTAGCACCCAATCGCCATACATCCTCTACAGCCAGGGAGCGGGCTTGTGATCACCTGAGCTTGAGCGTTACAATCTCCAGGCTTGAAGAAGCAAGGGAGTTGGGGGGGTGGCTGCCTAGTTGCGTTTTCAAAGTATACTTTACTAGTCACAAAATGGGGTACCCAAAGAAGAGAACTACAACTGGAGGCATCTTGTGAGGTCTTTGTATCCGCTTGACAGAGGCCAACTTGATTCCAAATGTACTGCTCTAGCAGCTTACAATCGGTTCATGGCGTAAGGTTTAGGGTTTACCCTCAGGATCCATGTCCCTCTGTCGTACATACCTATATAAGAGCCCCTTGAAAGCGCAAGTATATACTGCATAGGTGTATACATAGGGTGGGGAGGACCATGGAGGCAGTAGCCTGTGACACGATGTCTCTTGCCCGGGTGGCAACGAAAATGAAAAGCGAATGACCCCTGAATTGCCCTTACAAGGAAGAATACTGTATGCGTATTTACTTTATTCTATTATTTGTTATTCATCTATATATATATATATATATTGCTTTTGTTGGGGGGGTAAGCAATTCGTAGTAAGCCTTCGAAACCCTGCACCCGAATCCACGCCTAGACCCTGTAAATGGTTTTCAAGTGGTCTAATAGCCCATCCTGGATATCATGGCAAAGTGGGCCATGTGGCTTCCCAGCTGCTCAAAGTTCACCTGCAAGGGGAGAAGTACTCTGATTGGCTATCGGTCGGAACGCTCTTTAGGTAAAGGGTGACAAACTGTGTGAGAGCAATGGTAGCTCACAGCCCTTTTCGCATGGACACACATGTCGAAGGTCCCGGTCCGACAGAAGCCACTAAGCCTGAGAGAAGCATGACACCCTAAACCCTAAACTGCAAACACAAAGTATGCCAGAAGATGGTTTGGCGGGCCACCGACACATGAACATGAACAGATATGGTCCTTCAATGCAGCAGCTACACCCCCCACGGCCGAGAGATGCCACCTTACTGTTTTTACCGAGTAGGGTTTAGGGTTTAGTGCATTATAACGGAGTCCTCCGAACTGTTCCCACAGCTTCTGTTCCCGAAACTCCATGTTCCGACATTCCAAGCTGCCTTTCGTGTTAACAGTCGTGTAACAGAACGCATGACTAGGATTTCTTGAAGAACCCCCCCCCCCCCCCAAAAAAAAAAAAAAAAAAACAAAAAACTCAAGATGACAATCCCTAGATTGCCCTTAATTATGATGGCAATCCCTAGATTGCCCTCATGAGGAAGAATATCTATTTTTGGGGGGTTCTTGAGCAAATAGTAGCAAGTAACCCTGAGGATCCATGTAGTTTCCTATGTAGTATATGCTTGGGCTTTCAAAGAGTTCCCACGTAGTAGCTTTCGGGCCCAAGGATACACTGGAAAGCTACATGGGCGTTTCCGAATATGGTACCCTTTGTGGAGGCCCCTTGAAGGGGATTCGATTCTAGGGGTATAAAAGGGGTACCCCTATTTTGGGAAATGCGCACATGGACCCTTAGGACTAAGGAACCTAAACACAAACACGACATCCTGGTAGTTGAAACTACCTGTTACGTATTTTTGTTCCTCTTGGGAGTGGGGAGGGGTGCTATATCGCAAAAGCGGGCAACATCATGAACAATGCTGTGTGTGCGTGCTAAGTAGCCCTTGCGAAATTCCTGGACCCCAAGCCCTAAGCCCTAAACCCTGAACCCTAAACTCTAAACCCTGGATGAACCTGAATGCCTAAAAGACTCGGGTCGTAGACTGACAGGAGTCGCATACCCCTTTAAGCGTAGCTCCCTGTCTGGATTCCTCGTTTCACACTATACAATATACTAACCGAAAACTTAGGTGACCAAAAACCGAAAAACCAAAAAACAAAAAAATGTTAGAGGTCCAGGAACGGTTTAGGAACCCTCTTAAACTCCCCCCTTTCCCCTTCTCCCCCTAAATGCCTATAACCAGACCCTAAACCCTACACCCTAATTCCTATAAACCTTCAACACCTGCCTGGTATCCGCCCTGCGGCAGCTCCCAGGACATGCGCTCATTCAGCGACTGAGAAAGGGATCAGGTCTTGAGGTTTAGGGTTTAGGGTTTAGGGTTTAGGGTTTAGGGTTTAGGGTTTAGGGCTAGGGTTCAGGGTCGGCAAGAGGATAAACTTGCAAAGGGTTCAGGGCTCAGGGCTTGTAGGATGTTGGAGGCCAAGAAGACAACGTCAAGGATGTCTGTGTGGAGAAACCCTGACGTCCCCCTAACCCCTAAACCCTAAACCCTAAACTCTAAACCCTAAACCCTCCACCCTAAACTATTGCGGGGATTCGAGCCTAGGATGGGCTCTCAGCCTCGGATTCTCGGCATCCCTACCATAGCAACCGCAGTGAAGGGCCAGTACCTAAAAAGCCAAACCAACGAGCATTCCCTCCTAGGTAGGGTCTAGGGTTTAGGGTTTAGGGTTTAGGGTTTAGGGTTTAGGGTTTAGGGTTTAGGGTTTAGGGTTTAGGGTTTAGGGTTTAGGGTTTAGGGTTTAGAGCATTCCCATGCTGCGCACGTTTCGTCTAGACACGCAGGGCGGGCTTGAGTGTTTGGAAGGCTGACGGTTTAGGGTTTAGGGTTTTCATGTTGTAACAGTACAACATTACTCGTGTTGTGTCATGCTGATCAGGCGAACGCAGGCTCTGGATACCCTAAACCCTAAACCCTAAACCCTAAACCCTGAGGCCAAGCTGCATCTGCGGCCCAGTAGATCATGCGATCTGGGCCTGAAGCCGAGTTCAATTCAGGGCTCAGGGCTTGTTGGCTGACTTTTTTACGACAGAATGGGATTCGGGTTTAGGGTTTAGGGTTTAGGGTTTGGGAGTTCACCCTTGTCTTGCTAGTTGACTCTGTCTTGGCTGCTTTGCAGAGAGACGAACTCACGGTCTCCGTGTATACTGTAAACTACACCTCAAGAAGTCCAACCCAGCTGCGTGGGGAACACCAGGGTGGAATCATGGTTTTGCTTCGACCCGAAGATCGGATTCAGCTAATTTGGTTGTGGTTGCTGCGCCGTGTTTCTGCTTGGATTCTGCGCCGGAACCCTAAACCCTAAACCCTAAACCCTAAACCCTAAACCCTAAACCCTGAAATGAACAGCAGGCAGTGTAGCGAAGACTGGGCCCCACACAACACCTACGTCAAGATCCTCAAAGCTTGACGACAGTGCAGAGTTCAACTGTAATCAAAGTTCACGAAAAAAGTGCCAAATATGGTGATTTAGTTTAGAATCAAGATCCCGAATATAGTGCCAAATATGGTGATTTAGTTTAGAATCTTGTTCATTCGGTTTGATACTAACTAACATTCATTGCTTCAGTGAGTTGGTAGCATTCCAGTGGGACGACACATCGGCTTGGGAGTCAGGTTCTAAAAAGGCTCGGTGCTGTGTCTCGCAGCTGCGTCCACTGTCTTTGACAGTCTTTCCAGTCAGGGCATAACTGGCATGAGACGGCTGCGACCTGGTGCCACTTCCCCATTCACTCGGGGCTACCTGCGGAAGTAACACACTAACCACGAACCACTGACATTACTCCCTACCTCCTCTCCCTCCCCTCCCCTCCCCTCACTCGTGCCCGCTTTTTTGTTGTTGCTTGCTCTCTCTTCTTGCTCCTCTTCCTCGTCTTCTTCTTCTTCTTCTTCGTCTTCTTCTTCTTGTACTCAGCCAAAAAAGGCCCACCCCCCCCCCCCCCCCCCGCCCCTCGGGGCTCTTCCTCTCCCTCTCTCCAGATCTCTCTGTGCAACGCGCCACCTAACAAACACTCCAACCTTGGGATGTTCACTCTTGGCAGCCCTTAGTAGGGATTCCAGAAACCCTCTACTATCATCCCTCTTAAGGACTGTTAGAATCAGGGGGAACATCCCAACTCCAAACCCTAAACCCTAAACCCTAAACCCTAAACCCTAAACCCTATAATCCCTACACCCTAATCCAAACCCAAGAATCCTCAAACCACAGCACTGATGCTGGGATCCTGGCAGGCCGGGAACCGGAAGGGGCGGAAGGCGGACTTCTTAAAAGCCAAGCCCCAACCTCGGGAGATTTGGAGTTTACGGGTTTAGGGTTTAGGGCTAGACCCAGGAGTAGCCTAGGAATGAAATTTTAAAAAGGGTACCCTTTTTCGGTTTTAAAGGGTATGTAAGGGAACCCAAACCTTTAAAAGGAAGGGAACAAGGGCCCACTCTGGGTCTTAGGAGTTGGGGTTTTGTTTTTGGTTACTGGGGTATTGGGAGTTTAGGGCTTTTGGACTTAGGGATACAGGATTTAGGGTTTAGGGCTTTGCGGGCTTTGGGGGTTGTGGGGTGGCCCTGCAAACGGGGAACCGGCACGAAGAGCCTTCTCCCATGCCTTCGCCTGTGCATCAACTGACCCCGGCCGGGCAACCGGTCGTTTTGCCGCCAGAGGAGCTTTGCCCGGGCTCGGCACTATCGAATGTATGTATATATATATATATGTGTATATACACACATTGTTTATACATATATATATATATATAATATAGAATATTCTATTTTAATAATATATAAATCTATGTTTATTACTTTATATATATTTGTAGAATTATGATAATAATAATAATTATTATTGTTATATATATATACACATATAAGAGCATGTGGCTATACCTGCTCCACATCCGACGTTGGTTCTGAGCGCCGAGTTGCGACTGCAAGCTTCTTCTGCATCGACCATAGTTTCACGGTATTTCCTTGGCGGCAGGGAGTAACAGCTGCACGGGTTCATGGCCTTGTTGCGGCTTTCTTATTTGCTGTTTTGCGAGTGTGGGCTTGATGCCACTTCACGGGTTTACGGCTTAGATCGCAGGGGTTGAGACCTTCCGAAGACTGTCTGCGCGATCTAGAGGCTTAGGGTTTCGAGTTCGGTTTAGGGGTCGCGGGTTTCGGCAACTGCTAGGCTAGGCATGGCTCTGAGCAGCTATTCCAGGACAAAGCAAAACTAGCCACTTAAACGAAGGGTGCTTCCCTTACTTGGAGCCTTTTTCGGTTGCTTGGATGCTTTGTCGAGGCCTCTGAAGCTTCTTTCGGTCCTGGTTAGGAGCCTTTTTCGGGGCATCTAGCTCGAGGCTTTTTTGGGAGGGGCTGTTGGACTTTATGTGACAATTTGGGGTACGAGATGGTTTCAGGCTGGGGGGGAGGGGGGGTGTGGTTCGAGCTTAGTTGTGCGTCGGCGTCTAAGCGTGGCTACGTAGCCACTCAGACCTCATCTTCCGCCACCCCCCACGTTCAGGGCTCTGGGTTTAGGGCTTTCTTCTTGACGATCCATTAACATGACCTCCATTGCGATAGATAGACCGAAATTTTCTTCTTCTTCTTCTTCTTCAGAAGTTAGCGTCCTGACTTCGAATCCTGGTTTGCTTCGCGACATAGGAAAAAGTACGAGATGACGACTCCAAGTCCAAGCCCTAAACCCTAAACCCGCCCACCCCACTCTCTTGTGTTTTGGGGTAGGCGGGCGCTGGTCGAGCGCTCAGTGAGACCCTGCGAAAGAGCCCCAGGCGGGCGACCGAGCTTGCCTCCAGGCTGGCTTACCCTCCAGGCAGGCACAGGCCGAGTCAGTTGTCACTGTTTTTTGAAGTTAAAATTTTGAACCCCACACGGTCCGCGCACATTGTTGGGTGGGTGGGGCCCTGGAGACCCCTGGGTCCCTCACCCCCGTCCGCTGGGCTGTGCAGAGCAGGGGCGTTTTGTTGGGGGTGGTCTTGGCCCTGAACCTGGCCCTGGCCCTGGCCCTGACCTGGCCTGGCCCTGGCCCTGGCCCTGGCCCACGGCCCTGGCCTTGGCCCTGGGTCTGGCCTGGCCCTGCCTTGCTAATTTCAGGCCGAGAAGCACATTGTTGGGTCCTGCATTGGATGTCCCCTTGAATGGCCCTGGAGACTTTGGGTCCCTCACCCCCGGCTGTGCGGACCATGGGCCGTTTTGTTGGGGCAAGCAGGGCTCTGGCAAAAAATGCCTGACCCCTTACTTGGGTCTGGCCCTGTCCCTGGCCTTAGCTGGCCCTGGCCGCTAAAGGCCTTGGCCTTGGCCCTGGCCCGGCCTGGCCCTGGCTTTGCTGGCCTTACCCCTTCGCGCCAAGCCCGCTGTCCGCACACCAGTTTTGGCCTAGTCCACAACCCAAGCTGTCCACTCGCTTCGCGCCAACCCAAGCCCCTGACCCTGCCTCCCTGGCTTTAGCCCCTTCGCGCCAACCAAGCCTCGCTGCCTGTGTCTGTTCCTGGCCCGGCCAACCCAAGCTGTCTTCGCTGACCCTGCCTCGCCTTTCCGTCTGCGCATCGCAAATGCCCTGGTCCAGGCACCTAATTGTGGAAGTCCCCTTAAAGGGCGTGAGTGCTGACTCATGTGATGCTTCGTAAACAAAAAGGTCTTAACTCCTTGAGAGTTGTAAGTGGGCGGTCTTGGGGTGGGTAGGTCTGCAGACTACCGCGCGCTCCCAAAGCGTGCTTCCGTTTGGCACGCCCTAAACCCTAAACCCTAAACCCTACGAGACCCATGCGAGGTGCTCCGGGACATGAACACCTTGCTCGCCCGAGGGCGCGTTCGGAAAGAGCCTGGAGAGGCATGAGAGGCGTTTCTAAGGGTTTTAGGGTTTAGGGTCTTAGGGCTGATTACGAGGCCCCGAAAATTTGGACCATTAATCGGGGAACCCCTATAAGCTTTGAGATGTTCCCTTATGCTAGCAGTCCTTAAGAGGGATTAGAATAAGAGGCACTATAACCCCCAGTAATTGAGGACTGTTAGTAGAATGGGGAAGCCCCTCTATATGCCCCGTATGCACGCCGCAAAATGCCCGAAAAAATCATGTGGCCCTGCACATTTCCGGCTGAGGATGTCCAGCAGCCATTTTTGAGGATTGCATCTTCCGGGGCCCAAACCCAAAGCCGTGCTTGTCGTTCATGTGGGGGGGGGGGGGGGGGGGCCGGGTGGGGTACTTGTTTGATGGATATTTTCATATACATACAAAGAATGAATGCTCCAAAAGAAGGAACTGCAACGAAAAGACAGCAAACGGTTTGGCGCAGGAGGTTCTGGAGGGTTTAGCAGTTGGGATGTTCCCACTTACACTAACAGTCCTCAATAGGGATTATCATAGGGGGTACTATAATCCCTATTAAGGACCTCTGGTATAAGAGGGAACATCTTAAAGTTTAGGAGTTTATACGGCCCTAAACCAGCCTGGCTTTGCTGGCCTCCTCCAGGACGTCTCCAATCCTACAATGATTTTGCAGGGCGAGAGGGTAGAGCAAGGTCCGTACTACGGGGCATCCGAATCCCTGATACTCGCCGGGCGTAGAAACCGAAACCCGAAACCCTAAACCCCTGTTGACACCCTACAACGCCAAACAGTGTAAGACCACTTCAAGAGCAGGGAAACCCAACAAGAGCCCTTTATACTCCTTAGCGTCTAAACCCTAAACCTGAGTCCTAAACCCTAAACCTGAACCCTAAACCCTAAACCCTAAACCCTAAACATCCCCTAATTATAAGGGGGCATGAAGGAGGCTCTCTCTGGGAAAAGAGCACTCCAAGAGCTCTCCGAGACCCAAAAAGCCGCGTTCATGGTACTTATTAACCAAGTATAACTGTACTGGTTTAGGGTTTAGGGTTTAGGGTTTAGGGTTCAGGGTTTAGGGTTTAGGGTTTAGGGTTCAGGGTTTAGGGTTTAGGGTTTAGGGTGACTGTACCTATAGCCCGCTTATAAGCCCCTTAAGTGCCCTAACACGGTTATAAGTGCAGTTATAAGTACAGTTATAATTGGTTAATAAGTACCCTGAACCTCCAAGTACTGCGAACCCAGCCCACATTCCTTTCACGTAGACCATGAGGGTTTCAGGTTTGGGGTTTGGGGTTTCCATGGTTTCAGGGTTTGAGGGTTTAGGGTTTCAGGGTTTCAGGGTTTAGGGGTTTGAGGGTTTGAGGGTTTAGGGTTTCAGGGTTTAGGGTTTCAGGGTTTGAGGGTTTCAGGGGTTCAGGGTTTGAGGGTTTCAAGGTTTCGGAGTTTCAGAGTTTAGGGTTAGGGTTCAACGTTTTGTTTTAGGGTCTAGGGCCCTGCCAGGCGATAAGCCATGGGAAACTTTCGGGAGCAAAACTGATTCCTGAGTGCTTCGTCGAGAGCCGAAGCTTCCGCCGGGTTCGGCTGGAACCTGAGATGACGGTTTAGGGTTTAGGGTTTAGGGTTTAGGGTTTAGGGTTTAGGGTTTAGGGTTTAGGGTTTAGGGTTTAGGGGGCGTTACGTCATCCCTTCAGGGACTATGTAACTACCCTTAGCTGCAGCTGAGAGGCTTGATACATTGGGGACCACATGAGCCTAAAATTTGTGGTCAGGTACCGTTTATACTACTTTCATCCCTGACATGAGCCATAAAGCATTTTAGGGTCATTTGGCCCAAGGTGAGGCTTTCGGGTTTGAGGGCCGGGCACTGTCGTTTAGGGCGTGGGCCTTTGTTAGGTTTACAGTGGGGCATTTCTTCAGTTTGCTCTCAACTTTGTGCGTCAGTCTCAGTCCTAGTGTGTGTGTGTGTGTGGGCGCGCGCGCGCGCTTTCCACTTGCTGGGCTTGGGCTCGCATCTGGCCTGAAGCTGCCAAAGCCTGAAGAACGCCCAATAGCTTCCTGAATTCTTTAGACAACAGGGTTTGGGCCACAGTATTAAATCCTACGCCCACCCAAATCCCTAAAAAGCCGAAGAAACTCCAAGGTTCTCAGAGATTCCAAGGGTTTGGCTTTAGGGTGAAGGGTTTAGGGTTTTGGACCCCTGTCAAACGTCAAAACTTTTGCAATATTCTTAGCTACGCGACATTCCTTATGCCATCTCAAAGAGCGCCTTTAATCGTTGACGGGGTTTCGGTAATCATCCTCGGAAACTAATTCTTAATTGAGATGCAATATACATGTATATACATACATACATACATACATACATACATACACATACACATACACATACACATACACATACACATACACATACACATACACATACACATACACATACACATACACATACACATACACATACACATACACATACACATACACATACACATACACATACATATGGGTGTGTATAAATAAACAAATGTGTATATATCTATATGTATGTATGTATGTATGTACATCTATTTTTCAACCAGTTTATACTCACCGGTGTTTTCGACATACTGCTAGTTGAACGAAAACTGCACACATACATATATGTGTGTATATATTTATACATGTATCTACTAAACTCCTTATCTACTAAACCGGAAAGCCTAACGGTCCTACTTCAATGCGCCCTTTGTAAACCCTAAACCCTAAAACATAAAACCCCAAACCCTAAGGGTCGTGATCTTAAACTCCAAACCCTAAACCCTAAACCTTAAACCCTAAACCCCAAGGAGCTTGTAGGTCACCGGCAAGGCTGCGGCGCGCAGCGACTCGGAGGAACCAGCGCCGACCTCGTGAAAGGATGCGAGTTTGTCATGGGTTCCCGGCTTTCGGGTTTCGGGATTCCCCTCTCAGACAGTAGTATTACCACGGGTTCTGGGTTTAGGGTTAGGGTTTAGGGTTTTACCTACTACCCCCTTCTATACTACCCCCCCCCCCCCCCCTATAATTACGGCTATGTAGGGATACTTAAGCCTACTTCAGGTTATTTACGGGGGGTTAGTAGGGAAACCCTTGAGTTAGGGGTGTGGTATTTAGGGTTCAGTTGTTGTCTCCTGTCTTTCGCCTGGGGATTCGAGGGTTAAGGTTTTGGGTTTTGGGCTTTAAGGTGGGCTCTAGGTTCGGATTCTACAGCTGCACGAATAGCCAAGAATACTCTCAGTGGCGCTCGTCTGCTTTTGGGTGGCGCGTGAAGATTCCGGAGTCAGATGTGCTCAAGGAAACAGAGCTTAGACTGTAGGGCCCTGTGTGCGACCCCTCAGCTATCGGGCACAACTTTCGAGAACATGGAGACGCAGGGGTACTATTTTTGGTGTACGAAATTTTTGGATTCTCAAAAGCGGTCTGGCAGTCTGGGTACACAGGTGGTCTACCCTATTACCCAAAGGATCCATGTACCTGTATGGTATATACTTGGGCCCTAAAGCTACTACATAGGAACCCCTTTAAGGCCCAAGTATATACTATACAGGTACATGGATCCTTTGGGTTTGTAAGAATGTAGGCAAGCATGCTCAGGGATTCTGCTCTGGTAGAGCGCCGTGCTTTTGATTGTGCCTTCAGGCGGTCAGTCGCCGTCCCCGAACCCTAATTACCCTAATTACCCTAAGTTACCCTAATTACCCTAATTACCCTAATTGCCCTAATTACCCAAATTACTCTAATTACCCTAATTACCCTAATTATCCTAATTATCCTAATTATCCTAATTACCCTAAACCCTAAACCCTAAACCCTAAACCCTAAACCCTAAACCCTAAACCCTAAACCCTAAACCCTAAACCCTAAACCCTAAACCCTAACGGCCAGGCTCTGAGCTTGGGGTCGGGACATAATCGAAACTTTGTGGCCTCCTAAAGCCGATGCCCGAAAATTCCCGCCCATCCTTCACCCTCCCCAAAAAAGGTTTAGGGTTTGAGGGTAAACCCCCTGAAAGAGCCCCAATGCTCCTTCACTAAGGAATAGACCCTCAAACCCATATTCACGGGTCCTGCATAATTTTAGGTACATGTCCTGATAGGGTTCGGATTTAGGGCTTAGGGATTTAAGGAAGGGGCAGTTGTCTCTGTGGCCCCCCCCAATGCCCCAACCCCCCCCCCCCCCCAAAAAAAAAAAAAACCCTAAACCCTGAACCCTGAGCCCTAAGCCCTAAGCCCTAAACCCTAAACCCTAAAACCCTAAAACCCTAAACCCTAAACCCTAAACCCTCAACAAAACCCTAAACCCTACCAGAGCTCGGAGCTTCCGGCGGGCCTCGTGCCAGCGCCCACTGGGCAGCTCCAATCCGCCTTGCACCCAATTCCAGTACCCCTGCAGAAGATCCCTAAACCCTAAACCCTAAACCCCAAACCCTAAACTTGCGAATGACCCAAGAGTAGTAGAAGGCACCAAGTAGTTCCCTAACTTTAAAGGTTCCTGAGAATGGCCCTTAAGAGTAGTCTAGGGTACTAAGTAGATCCCTTGAAGGGTTCCTGGGGATGACCCTTAAGAGAGTAGTAGAGTGCACGTTTTTTTGGGGGGGTCTCTACTTTTTGGATCCTTTCAGGGGTCTGGGAAAGGGTGCCCTTGTTTGCTCACGTGTTAAAGGGGTTTACAAGGGAACCGAACCCCCCCCCCCCCCCCCCATAGAAAAAACGAACTAGGGCACTGCTGGGCATCCTAGCTGAAACACTCTTTCGGCACTGGGCTCGCTCAGCAGGTGCTCCCGGCCCTGAACCCTCTAGAGCAGCTTCAGGGCCCAAGTACATACTATATGGGCCGACGCCTTCATCCTGGGATCTCTGCATTGCCGTCTCCTAACCCTAAACCCTTTTGAGCAAAACCCTAAACCCTGAACCCTGAACCCTGAACCCTGAACCCTGAACCCTAAACCCTAAACCCTAAACCCTAAACCCTAAGGCCTAAACCCTACCTGTACTACGGGCCCCTACTTTCTGGTTCCAAAGAGCGCTGGATGGCTCGCTGCAGAGGTCGGTCCTTGAAAACCTCAGCATGCAAGGGCACCCTAAACCCCTAAAACCCCAAACCCGAAACCCTAGCCCTAAACCCTAAACTGCACCATCTTACTGCACCATCTGGCTTTAGGGAGGCTGGGTTTGGGTTTAGAGCCTAGGGCCTAGGGTCTAGGCTTTAGGGTTTAGGGTTTGGGGCAGTTGAAGGCTCCAAGTAGTTGAAGTTGAAAGATTCAGCCTTTAGGGTTTAGGGTTGAGGGTAGTATAGGGTAGATGACCCCAATTTGGGGGTTCTTTTGGTCCTTGAGGAAGGGCTTAAGGGATCAGGGTTTAAGGCTTTAGGCGCGTGCTCATGATCAAGATGCTGTCGCAACTGCCATCGGATAGGGAAAATATTCCGTGTGGTCCAAAGACTCTATGGCCAGACACTTGCCCATCCAGCTTCTAGGGTTTTGGGATCATCGGTTTAGGCCTTTACCCCCCCCCCCCCCCCAAAACAATAAACTTTAGTAGCAAATGCGGGCGAGGCTCTTGGTTCGGCAGGTCTAGGGTCGCGGTGGTTTCGGGTTTAGGGTTCATCAGCTGAGGGTTTGGGGAGCTAGCGCTAAAGCAACACAAAGCCGGCCTCGAGCAAGACATCTTTGCATCGCGAACCCTCGAGCAGGGTGCCTGCGTCGCGCAAACATCGAGTTGGCATTTGTTTGTATTTACATTGCTTTTGCCAGGAGCGGTTTTTTCGGGTTGCAGGCTAAGGGCATTGGGCAATTTTCGGCGGGCCATCGAGATTGCGCACAAACTCCATGTACCCATGAGTAGGATAATGCTGCTTCTGCTGTCCCTCATTGCAAGCTCGGACACCATGATGGTCAGCTTCGGCCTCTAGACATTCGGTGGGATTGCAGGCATGCACCTCGAAGCCCAAACCCTATGTAAAACCAGCAGGCAAGGTGCGACTGTTCAGATCGCCCTGGAGGAAGAGGACGGTATTGCCTGACAGAGTGGGCGACAGTTGCGCAGCCGGGCAAGTCATCGGGCGTAGCCCAACGCTGTAGCAGGGGGAATGAGAAAAGCTTGCGTCTGGAGTTTGGGCGCGCAGATGTCAAGCAGGCATGCAGAAACAAAAAGACATGTCGTGCTTTCAAAAGAGCCCTTTACATCCCTTGAATCTTCAGGTGTACTCCTTAAGTAAGGGGACCCTAAACCCTAAACCCTAAACCCTAAACCCTAAACCCTAAACCCTAAACCCTAAACCCTAAACTATTGGGCTCCTGCTGGGATCCTGTCAAGTCGTGGAGCCCACGCATGCTTTCCTAGGCATTCCGATGGCTTTGGGCCCAGCGCGCCGTCCACACTCATCGTCGAGGCTGCCGTGCGCAGGACGCTTCGCCTAGGGGTTTAGGGTTTAGGGTTTAGGGGCTTAGGGGTTTAGGGGTTTAGGGGTTGGGGGGTTGGGGTTTAGGGTATAGGGTTTAGGGTTTAGGGTCGAAAGCCTTAACAACACCATCGACCTGCCCTGCCGAGGACCACACAACACTGCCTAGCAGTTGCTAGCAGCAAATGAAGGAAGCAGGGGAGGGGGGGGGGTGAATGTTGCAGTTCATCACTATCATGGCTAGAACCAAGCTGCTATATTAGCATCCCTCCCCACATCCCAATTTGTGTTCTTGTGAACATTCTGCTGCTTTTTTAGCATTCTTCATATTCAAGACCCCTAAACCCTAAACCCTAAAGCCTAAAGCCTAAACCCTAAACCCTAAACCCTGGACCTTAGACGACTTGGGCTTGGCGACAAGCCCGCAGCCAGCAGCCGCTTCGCCGCCTGGAAGGTTGGGGTTTTGCTCCGAAACTTCCGGTGACAGAATTGTTTGGGTCCTAAACCCTAAACCCTAAACCCTGAACCCTAAACCCTAAACCCTAATAGCCTGTATATGACGTCCGTGGAGGCTTTTGTACTGTTACCCTGAGGGTTCCCTAAACCCATGTTGAGCCCAACGCTAACTCCCTAAACCCAAAATCCTAAACCCATCTTGTACCCGAAGAGCCCAATACCACTCAACCTCGGAAAAACTCTTCAATCATACTCAGGATCCTTATATGATTTGCGGTAGATTCCTTGATTGATGGACATTGGGCTCTTTGCTAGGTTGCCCAGAAGCATCGGATTCAAAAGGGTGCCCCTTGTTGTGCTTAAAGGGGTTTATAAAGGAACCTAACCTCCCCCCCCCCCCCCCCCCCGCCAACAAAAAAAAACTAATCAAGGCACTACTGGGCATCCGATACCCCCCAACCCTACACTTGGTATGTTCGGGATGTTCCCCCTTATACTAACAGCTCCTGGATAGGGATTCTAAAAGGGTTTTTACTAGAAGGACTGTTAGTATAAGGGGGAACATACCAAGTATACCCTAAACCCTAAACCCTAAACCCTAAACCCTAATGGGCGTCTTTGGGTCTCTCCCGGGCCTGCAGCGTAGAGCCCTCTGCTTTCCTCGGGTTGGAGGTCCGGGAGCTCACGTCATTTTGCAGCTAGGGTTTAGGGTTTAGGGTTTAGGGTTTAGGGTTTAGGGTTTAGGGTTTAGGGTTTAGGGTTTAGGGTTTAGGGTTTAGGGTTTAGGGTTTAGGGCTATTTTGAAATCTGGGTCTAGGGATTTCCTCGGCGCTGTTTCGAAGGGGCTTCGAGTTTATCAAGGGTTTAGGATTTGTGGGAAGCCTTTGTAGAAGAGAGGTGTACAGTCTTTGGCTTATTATGCAAGGTTTCGACGCTCACGGGTGCGGCTGGCAAGGCAGCTTGCGCGGAGGCTTTGGGTTGAAGATCTTCCAAACAAAACCGAACCTCCCATCGCTGTCTCGTCCTTTCTACCTGACGCTGTCTGCGACTAGGGACTTCAGACACCCTCTGATTTGGGGCTCAGGTTGAGGGTTGAGGGTTGAGGGTTTAGGGTTTAGGGTTTAGGGTTTAGGGCTACAGAAGGCTCAGACCATGCCAAACTCCCCTTGAGCTTGATCAGCACCACCACAGGACCCTACCCATCTGGCAGTGCCTCTGAAACCCACTGAGCCCTATAAAGACCCCTTGTGTAGGGTTCAGAGTTTAGGTTTTTTTCCCACCCGCCTAGCTGACACAGTTTAGGGTTTAGGGTTTAGGGTTTTGGGTTTAAGGTTTGGGGTTTAGGGCTTGGGGTGAATGCGTGAACCCTAAACCAGGGTCTTAAGTGGAGGAGCTTGCATGCGGCCCTTTTCTTAGCACTGGCAGGCACTTCTGGCACTTCTGTGCTGCGGTGGAAACTCATCCAAGTGAGCTGTCTGGCAGCTCCTGACTCTGCCGGTCTCGGGTAGATCCCGTACGCTAGGAACTTTCGTTTCAATCTGTACCTGGACCTCTTACCGTAGTTCTTGCTTTGTGTACCTCATTTTCATAATGACCACAAAAAACTGTATCCCACCAACAAGAGAACTACAGTTAAGAGGTCGATCTTGGAAATGTCTGAAACCATGAGAGCCCACAAGGGGGGGGGCGGGAAGGGCATCTTAACTCCCCCTCGGTCCCTCTCTTCCTGTACATGAACACCTTGAGGATGACCTCAGGCTAAGCTGCTGCGCCGCGAGGTACGCGTGGCGACGCTAGCCCTTCTTCGCCGGCGCAGCGACCTTCTTGGCCCCGAAGGCGCCCTCAAACCAATAGGCGAAGGCGCTGACGCACAGCGCACTGCCGATGCCCCCCACGAGGCCGCCGTAGGTGACCATGCCGCCCGCAAAGCCGGTCCTGGCAACCCATCTGCAAAACCACGTTAAGACCCTCTAAACCCTTCAGAACCTGTTTTCTGGGTCCCAAAGATCCTATGGAAGTGTAAGGCAGTTCGGGGATCGACCGTGAGCCGACGTGACTGGATTAAAGCAAGCTTTGAAACTCCGTGCTCTCGGCTCGAATCTCGGTCCGGAACAGTTTCCGCAGCGCCACGCTAAGGCCCATCATGCCCAGCATGAGAGGGTAGAACCTGGGCTGCGAAGGCCATCTGCAACATTGCTAACATAGCCCCTTTGCAACGGCCTTGTCAGTGTTAGCCCCTAAATCCTAAACCCTAAGCCCTAAACCACTTGTTCGCGCATCTTTACACCGAAGGCAGATTGAAATATGCCCTTCCGGGGTACCTATGATGATGTGGGCCCTTTGTGATGGACCCTCTGGGAGAATCTTAGGGTAGCTTCATGGCCCCTTAGTATGGGCTCTTAACAAGGGAACCCCTAATTTTCCCTATTAACTTCAGAACCCTTTGAAGGAGGTAAGGGACCAAACTACGGGCCTATACAACTTCCCTTAGGCTGCTAACAAACCCTAAACCCTGAACCCTAAACCCTAAACCCTAAACCCTAAACCCTAAACCCTAAACCCGGAGCCGAGGTGCCTTGGGGAGAAGACCTGCCACGGCTTTGGGTCCGTCAGTGCCCCGATCCGGCGCTTGTTCTTGATGGCTACCTACACGCTGACGTGGGTTCAGGGAGGGTTTAGGGTTTAGGGCTAGGGTTTAGGGTTTCGGGCTTAAGGTTTCGTGGGCTTGGGACCCCTCAACTAAGGAATATACTGAAATCATCTTCCGGAACCCTATATGCGATAAGGCACCAGATGGCTTAATTCAGGGGTATTGGGCTCTTTGGGTAGGTCCCGTGCTTCAGCTGCCCAGGCCCAAGCCCAAGGAGTTTGGGATAAACCCTAAACTCAAGGCCTAGGCCGCCCCCCCCCCCCCTACAGTTAGGGGGCGGCGCCTAAGCCCCTCGACCTCGATGGCGCAAGCCGACCCCCTATAATTAGCTAAACCCTAAACCCTAAACCCGAAACCCTAAAAGAATAGGGCCGTGGACAGACCCTCGAAACGGACCTTCTCTGTGCATGGACCACTGCGCTCTATGGTAGTATTGTCAGAATCCCTTCTGGCCCGCTTCTTCAGGCACCCCATAGAACGCAGCCGGTGACTTCCTTTAGACCCCCCCATACCTATACCCAAAGAGCCCAATACCCCTTAATTCAGGAACATTCCTTTAAATCATACTAAGGGTCCCTTTATAATTTAAGGAATGCTCCTTAATTAAGGAGTATTGGGCTGCATATGCCCCCTATGAACCCTTTGAGGGCCGCTGCTGGACTAGAGATCATGCCCCCCCTTATAATTAAGTATGGACCACCTGCTGTGGACTCTGTAGACTGGACCCTTTCCCCAACTTAAGAGCTGGCACTCAGCCCGCCAGTCGCGGCGTGTGTCCTTGATGCCAGCAGATTTCCTCACCCACAGGTGATAGGCCACGAGCTGCCACCAAGGCAAGTTCTAGGACTAAGCCCGTGCGAGAGCGTACTAACTCAGCTACAGGTCGATAGCTCAGCTGATGCCCCCTTTATCCAGTTGACCTGCAGGCCACGCTGTGGCGGGCCGCTAGTGTTGATATTGAGGAACATGACCTTAAACAAGATCTGAACCGTATAAACCCCAAACCTTAGAAACCCTAACCCTAAAACCCTAACCCCAAGACATGAAACCCTAAACCCTTACTAAACCCTGCAATGCTGGCCTTCGAAAGGACAAAGCGCCCCTTCGCCAGGCCCAGAAGCAGCCCAAGGGACGCGGACGCCGCGATGGAGCGCGGGGAGGCTCCATCGAGCTTCCTGGGCGGCGGTTCAAAAGGTTCAGGACCGGGAGGGTTGAGGGCTTAGGGCTTAGGGCTTCTTTTTGCCGCCGGTCTAGCAAGGCTCCACTTGTGGAATGCTGGATGATTCGAAAGTACTTGAGCAGCCGGCCTCATATGAAGAAGCCGAATAGCTAGGCTCCTTGCAAGGTGGTATTCTCAGTACCAATGCTACAATGAGCCCATCGCCTGACACATACCTGCATCTGTCAGTCCGCTTCGAGATGCAGAAGCCTAATTCTGGTAAGCTCTGCGTAGCCTCAAACCAACACTTGGAAACAAGCCCTATACATCCCAAGCCCCCAAACCCCTCCCTAAACCCAACCAGCCCTGAACCCTAAATCCCTAACATACAAGCTGAAGAGAGAACGAGCTGCGCCGCTTGTAGTAAGTAGCCTCGGCCTACGGCATGGGGCTCCCAAAGACCGCTTTGTGCTTCGAAAGTCGCAAAGCTCTGCAAGCCTTAGAGGTCCTGGAGACCGAAAGAAACCAAACATCGGGACCCAAAATGAAGTCCATGGACCATAAGACCGTTTTTGTGGGTTTAGGGTTTAGGGTTTAGGATTAAGGGTTGCATGTGGTCCTCAAGGACGAGACCCCCCCTTCCCTCAAAGACCTTTCCGCCACTCCTGCCTCGGGCAAGGAGCCCTGCACCAATGAGAAGCCAAATTGCGCCTGCCCATCAACCCTAACGCCCTCACCCGTACAAGGCTTAGGGTTCATCAACCCCAGTTAAGGAAGACATAGAATGGCCCAAAAACCCTAAACCTTACTAGGCTTAGGGTCCAGAAAACCCAGCTAAGGAAGACATAGAATGGCTCAAGGGCCGAATTGCCCAATTCATACTGCTATGCTTGGAAACAAAACAACCACGCCACCAAACGAGGCCAAGGCCAAAAACCGACGGTTTAGGGTTTAGGCTTTAGGCTTTAGGGTTTAGGGTTTAAGGTTTAGGGTTTAGGGTGTAGGGTTTGGGGTTTGGGGTCGACGCCTGCGGTGTTTTGCAGGCCCTGTGCACCCATGGCGGCCCGGCGTGGATGCCTCTGCGTCCGCAGTGGAAGCCTTAACAAAGACTCCAATGTAGTTCCTTTTTGGGTTTAGGGTTTAGGGTTTAGGGCTTAGGGTTTAGGGTTTAGGGGAGTCTAGTACTTGGAGGGTTCATAAGTGCTTAGAGGTTTCTGGTACGTATTAACCAATTCTAACTGTTGTTATACGGGTTTGTAATTGTACTTATAATATTAGGGTACTTCAGGGGCTTACAAGTGGGTAATAACTACAGATATAATTGGTTAATAAGTGCCATGAACCTCCAAGTACTTATAACCGCAGTTGTAAGTCTACTTATCACCTACTTAGGGGACTTGGGGCTTACAAGTAGAGATATAATTAGGGTTATAAGTACCCTGGACCTCCAGGAAGGCGAAATCTGGATTTAGTAGTGGTCAAGCTTAGCTTTGGTACAGGGGGGACCGGCGATCATCGGCAACCAGGTCTAAGAATGACTTGCTAACCCAGTAACATATTGTAATACGGGTCCCCTTTTGGGGGTTTGTTACTTTATAAGGGAGCCTTGAACCCAAAGGGGCGAAAGTAAACCATCAACCCTAAACCCTAAACCCTAAACCCTAAACCCTAAACCCTAAACCCTAAACCAAAAGGGTACCACTGGGCTAACAAGATGAGGGCCAAGGCACCCCCGCGGCTTTTGGCAGCCAGAGTTCGATCTCGGAAGGCCGGGACCCCGGAAGGCGGTGAATGCCTTGAAGCCAGAGAGCCCTTTGTACCACTTTTTAGGCTCAGGGTTTAGGGTTCAGA